GCCCCGGGGCCAGGGCGTCCCTCTGGCTAACACGAGCATCTGCCAGCTCCAGGCAGGACGGTTCCGGCCCCACGGGTCCTCTCGCTCGATCCCCGTCCCCAGGTTCATGACTGACGAGAGGTGAAGCTCTGATCTGAGCAAGGGAAGCAAACAGATCAGAGGACACACGACCCGGCCGACCCTGCACACGCAGCAAGCATGGAGGACAATGTCCTACCAAGGCAGGAAGCACTTGCCTGGGCTTAGCCCCCTGCCACAGCTTGCAAATGCAATGAGGGGACGGCTGAGGTCCCTGGGAGAGGAGCACTGATTGCTACCGAGCCCTTGCCTGCGGCAGCCCCAAGGTTTTCGGCACGAGCCATGAGGACGCCGTGAACCAAGCGGAATTGCCATGAGACGTGTAGCCCGGATCCGTTCCCAGGTCGGGCCGGGCCAAGGGCTCGCTCCGCACGTAGCAGCGCGGCCGCCACAAGGACACCCTTCCTTCCTGAGGAGCTCACCTCAGAAAGGGGGAGGGGGTGTTAATCAGATCTGTCCTCTCTCGTGGCCCTGCCCCGGGATCAAAGCAGCAGTTCCAGCTGCAACGCAGGGGCGGGGAGGGGGCACAGGAAGGAAGAGAAATCGTGACAGAGCCCGGCCAGTGCAGAGATCTCCCCCGGCGCAGCGCGGCAACCGGCAACCACAGTCGCTCCCAAGCAAGTGCCTGGCTTGAAACCAGTGAAGAGGTGAACCCTGGAAAGCGCTGAGGCGTGCAGGGGAGTGTGCTCCTGAAACGGCATCGCAAATACTGGGGGAGGGACTTCCACACTTTTGTCAAATTAAAAGTGAAACAGCAGCGTCTTCTGCTGTAAAGTGCCAGGAAGTGTCAAAACACGTAGTTACAAAGAGCAAGAGTGTAATTACGTGTTTCTGTTTATCGTTTCAGTTACCTGCAGATTACAGGCCCTATTCGAAAATACTCCAGCTCCGGGGGCCTGATGCGGTCTGCAGGCCTTCTTTCCAGCCTCCTGCCTAGGAATGCTCCTTCCTTTCTTTCTCTGTTCTAAACCTGCCACTGGTTTCTCTGCATGCTGGAGCTTACCACTTTGTAAGTGACGCTTATCTCCCGCGCTCTATTTCTAGGAGGTTTCACTGCTAATTTTCTTTTTTTCTTTTCTTTTCTTTTCACAGTGCTGTTTCTCCTTCGCCACCACAGAGCAGGGCTTGCTAGGGGGGTCTGTCTACCTGGGGCCCTTTCGCTACTAACTATGTGATCCCACTGTACAAAATAGGTAACTTGGTTTCCCCCCAAACCATGCAAAAGTCCCACTTCTTCCCCAGAAAGCAGCCCTGCTTCCCTTTTCATACAACTGTATTTATGGCTTTTTTAAATAACCTGTGGGCCCAGATTTCCAGGTGCCCACATTTGCCAAATCTTACAGTGCAAAATTAGACACCCATCATTATTTCTGTTTGCTCTGAAAGAGCCTAGCTACCCCTGGACCGCACCCCTTGTGAGCCTGGGTTTGCCACTGTTGTTATTTTTATTTTACTCATTGACTGTATTCAGCTTACATCCTGGGGACGTAGTAAACAATCAACAATAATGAATCAACTGAATCGGTACTTCTTTTTTTTTTTCCTTTCTTTTTTTTTTAAGGCTATTCCCACTGAGAGCCACTTGCACTTTCATGACAGTTAAGAATCTGCCAAACATTAGCTTAGTTACCAGCAAGACAGCCTCCCCCTCCCTTCAACCCATACACAGAATGTTTATCAAAACGTGCTGCCAAGAAAAATATCCCTGCTTTTGGCCTCCACCAGTGATTAATAACACTTGAGAACTGAACAAAACTTTACTGTGTTTAAAAAAAAAAAAAAAAAAAAGTGGGAGGTGGGAAGGAGGAGGGAGGAGGGGGGAAAGCCAAATTTGAAAGAGAGACAGAGAAAGAAAGAGAAAGAAAGAATTGTAATGTTTAAAATCATGTTTCAAGCTAGAAACTCCTTTCCCACTGTAACTAGGCCATTTGAGAGAACTAAACCATGTTTCCCCTGTCCCTGTTATAAATGCTGGTTAACACTGGACTATTGAAAGGAGGATGTTTAGGAGGGATGGGAGGGTGGGAGCAGGCGAGCGGAGGAAGCACTTTACTGTTATTTGGATTTGTTCCAAGATGAGCTATGGGGGAAAGGGGAGAGGGGAAAAAGGATCATTTACTTTCTTTCCAAAGACTGCTGGTAAAATTCCTAAGGGAGATCAAGTGCCAAAATTAACTGTCTTGACATATTACTTTTAGACAGTATTGCCTGAATGAATTAAGCTGCAGTTTCAAGAAGTAGGCCTAGGATAGCTGCAAGCTGAGAAAGCAGCACACCTATCCTCCCTGCCTTGGGAGAAACCTCTCATTCTTGTGCAGATGGGTTTCCTTCCGGGCTTTCTGTCTCTCTGCGCTATTCTTCGCGTCCCTCTGTCTGTCATTATCTCTGTGTCTTGTAGTGGGAGAGGGTCAGAGAAAAAACAGCACATGAGAAAAGAAAGAGAAAAGCAGAAGTTTGTAACAATCCCCCCATACCAATCCCTATATTGCCCATACAGTGTTATTCACTGCTTTGTACAACCGAAGACATGACTTTAGAGAAAGAGAATAAATAGCTCTCGAACAGTGGGATCCAGACAAGTGAAAACAGTTTACTGAAATTAATGGTGCTGGATTGAACCAAACCTCCACTTTGGAACTGGTGCCAGACATAGTTTTCCTGAACCCTGTCCAACTGCCTGAGCGACAGATAATTTTCATTCTATTTGTGCTAAAGGCTTATGACTAGTGCTGGAAAATGAAGCCCTTGCCCTTGATCTCAGCACAGATTAACAAAAAAAAAAAAAAAAAAACCCAAAAAAGCAGCACTGTGCCAATTTGTTTCTTCTGCCAGGAGAAGCCCTTGTGCTTTGGGTAATGCAAAACAATCAAAAGTTCTCATGAAAACTCTTCATTGAAAGGAAACCCACCTAGTGCCATGTCTCCCTGCTGCACTCAGCAGCCAGTTTCCAAGATTCTCACAATGTCAGCAAACTGCAGAGGGCAAGGGCAGAAAATATCCGCCAGCCCGCGATTTCTCTCTCTTGTCCATCACCCATTGCCTGTGCAGGGGGAGACTCTGAATAATGCCTGAGATCATAAATACCCCAGTTCCTTCTTCCTGCTAATTCTGCTCTTCTCCCCTCCAGGACCGCCTGCAACATTTGTGCTGTCAGAAGCTGATCCTATTTCTGAAGGATGAAATGCACATTTGAGACGCACTCACACGCCGTTATAAACAGCGGCTACCCTGTACTGCTGTCAGCCAATTAATCTGCAATGGCTTTTTCTTAGATTATGAATAAAATGAGAATCCCGAGCAGCAGGCATTTGCTTTCATTGTACAGTCTGCACTTGTGACATGGTACATGTGGAAAATTTTGAGTGCACTGCAGTGAATGGTCTGGGGGTTAGTTTTTAGCTTCCGCTAAGTACCTGGCAGGCTGCCATGGCTGAAGGATTCTGGGAACTGAAAGGCTCCCAAGTACAAACTGCCAGCATTAAGCAGTCCTGACAGCTCTGCTCCTTCCACACTTGGCAGCAGTTCAAAGTGCTCTTTCATTTGAAAGGCTGGAAGGCTGCCATGTGCAATGCAGATTTGCTGTGCCTGCTCTCATAAGGAACTGATAAATGCAGTTGCTGTTGCCATGGGGACAGGAGGCTATCAGAATGGCCTTGTGATCTGCAGCCTCTCAGCTCTGCAGGTTTTTGGGGTTTTTTTCCCTGAGATGGTGAAATAAATGTTCTAGAAAAGGTTAACTCTTGCGGGGCAGGAAGCAAGAGGTTGAAAGAAGAGGCTGAGCCCTGCACACAGCTCTTGCAGGCTGTTCAGAGCAAGATTAGCACGTCCCAGCCTCCAGGCCCTGTTGGGAAGGGCTGGGCCGGGATCTTTTTTTTTTTTTTTTTGGTGGGGTGGGAGAGAGTGGAGGGGAAGGGAAGCCCAGGGGAAGTCCTTTTTCCTCCCTCCCTCTTGCAGTTCAGTACTTTCAGCAGCGATTGAAGGCTGTCCCCTCTCCCTGTCATGTCTCTATTTGTGAATCTCAGATGGTTTTAGACAGGAGTTAAGCCAGGACTCCACCCTGCAGGACACCACTTGCCAGCAGGTCTTTGTGGCTTCTTAGGGCACCTGGCCGGCTCGGCCCAGCAATGTGGCCCCATGTCTGAGTAATGTGCAAAGCACCTGGACTCCACCACAATGCACCCCATGAGATCTGGCAACACCAACACCAGAAGCAGTGGCCTGGACAGGATATTGGGAACAGACCATATAGAAAGGTTGGATTGGAGACATGACAAAGAAGAAAAAGACCTGGACTCACCCCAAGTGTATGATCCCAAGCTGCACTCTGGTGAAAGTAAAGACCCTGAGAGCTCAGCTTCTCATAGCCCCCAAGATTAAAATAAATACAGCCCTGAGCTATGAACAATGTGAGCCTTTGTATGAATTAGTATGCATATCTATATCCATAGACAGCGATAAACAAAAACACATGGATGCCAAAGATTTTTGCCAGAATATACATCCATTTGACTGTGTATAATTTTAACACATCTCCCTTCCTGGGTCTACTACAGCAATATATTCAGGTTCTCTGAAGACATCTTGCTACAGCGCAGTAAATTCAATTCTGTTCGGACAAGGAGAATTCAAAGCCATGACATCATATCATGGAACAATATAGTGTATCATTTCTCTCTGTGAGCCCATGCTATAAAATTTAGAGATATAAAGGCATAACATTTATAAAGACCAAATATGAAAATATGTCTGGGTGTGCAGATTATGAAGAGCAAGTCTGAAAGCCATAAAGCATACATTTTTTGAAATTTTAAATGAGATACAGAGAGAGAAACATAAGAGCATTTGGGGAACTTTGTTCTCTTTTCAAATATATATTCTAATGCCAGTTTTGTAAGCTTAATGTAAAAATGATACAATCCAACAAATCTTGCCTCTTTGTCTCTGGAAACCAATACATCCCTATGCTTCTATTATATTTATGCATGTTATTTTATTATTAATTGTTGAGTAGTGTCATTGTGCTAGAAACTGAACAAATACAGCAGGGAGTGAGTCTCTGCCCTAGGAGCTAACCATTTAATGGTCAATCTGCAGTTTTTTCTTAAGATATATTCAAATAACCATCATCTTCATTCTGTCTATTCCTTAAGATACATTTTTCAGAGAAGCTTTCTAATGCTATGCCCTTTAAAAAGCTCTTTCTTTCATATATCTTTAGGAAACTTCTTATTGCAAAGATGACAGTGTTTTAACCCAAGGTTAGAATGAATATGGTGGTCATTTGGAAAACAAGGAAGAGGAAATTGTTCCAGGCATTAGCAGCAACATAGAAACATACATCCCCCTTACTCTGCATATTGTTTAAACTCCATTTTAGTTAAAGCCAAAATGGCATCTAAGAGTATTGAGGCAGATGTGATTTTAATTTTAGCCTCACACTTGATATTTAATTTCAATGACTAATGCAGTTTGCATGTGCAAATTTTGATAGAAATGACTTGTATCCAATTGTAAAGCAATTTCAATATTGCAGACAATGCTGCACTTTCACTGGCTGTGCCTCCCACCATATTAGGCCTAAGAAGGTATCTCTTCATGACTGTATGGTTACAAAAAAGTAGATTGTATGAAGTTAACTGTAATTCAACTGTAATTTCTTCACCTGATTCTCTCTGGGTTCTTGCCTATGGTTGTCATGGTAATTTGGTAATTCTGGCCTGCTCTACACGTTCTGTTTGTCTCACTGGAATTTCCTGATTATTCAGAAACTTGTCAGAAAAAAGCACATAACCCCAAACCATGCTTCTTTATTCCTTTAACAGCAAAATAACTTACACTATTTTGTTAAAAATCAGCTAAGGTGAATCTCTTTGCTCCACTCACCTGAAAATAGAGCTGAGTTAAACATACACACCGAAACAGTTGCTTATATTTGTTTTCATTGTCAATAACAAGATATAAGAGGAGAGAAGGAAATGCTGGACATAGAAATGCTGGACTTATAACTGCTTATAGAGTTCTTTATCCTATTGACAAGGACCCAGCTCTCAGTCATATGGATATTATGTCATTTTTTCATCTGCTATGTTTCTGAGAACAGAAAAATATATTAGCTGTTATGTATCTATACCTAGCATGAGAAAACTTGAATATATTCTCCCAAGCAATATACAGAGCAGAAGGCTAGATTTTTATCAAGAGCTGCTGGTTACAATTTAAGCAAGGTGAAATAAACTGAACATGATTTTGATGCAGCAACAGAACCTAAATAAAGATACACCTGTTCTTATAACACATATATTTATGCATGTGAACGCATGCATATGTGTATGTATTTACAAGCAGCATATAACACTAACGGTACCAAAAGAACTACCATTGTACTACTTGCTGGGTATCTTTCTGAAGTAATGCACATAAATTATATATACATAATGAACATATATAATGCATATAAAAAAGTACTGGTACCCGGTTCAGTTTTTCCTCTCTCTCCTAATCATTACATGTTGCTTATCTTGGAGTAAAATTTTGGAACTAACAATTTTTGCCCCTATTTTCACTCTGAATACCTCCATCATATATCAGCCCACTGCTTTGCTTTTCATCTTGTTCTTGTACAATGCCTAGCATGATGGAGTCCTGATCCTAGAGGGGAAGCCCAGGAACTATTACAAATAATTCATTATCATCATTGTTATTGTAAATTATATAACATTTATAATTCAGATCAATTGTTTCCATCACTAACCACCTTTCTGAACATATACTGTTATGTAAGCATGCAATATACAGATCCCACTATTTTATTCTTTCTCTCTAACACCTTTCTTTCTGTTCCTCAGTTTTTTTGAAAAAAGGGAAACTTGGGGTTTCTCTAGAAGCCATTTTGATGTAATCCTGGAGCTGGAATCTGTTAAGCAATGCATGAGCATTCAAAACTCGACATTTTCTTTTGCAGCAGCATATTGTTGCAATCTATGATATTTGTGATATCATCTGTTTATGGCATCACCCTGCAAACTGCAAGTTCAAAAAAATCTTGTAGTTCCTCTAGTGCTCTCAGGTACCCAGGCATTACAAAGTTATATAAGTTTTGCTCTTCATGGAACCACAATATTTCTGGCAGATTTTAAGCCCATAGCATACCCTGGAAAATCCTTGCATGTAAAGAAAAGAAGCTATAGTTCTGGATAAAAGCTTTGCAGCCATACCAGTCATCCTTTCCTCCTATATCAGTTTCCAAATTTCCATTTTCAATACAATTTTACTAAATTCTGAGATAGTGTAATAAATTGGTAATAAACTCACTTATCTTTTTATACTCTGACAGACACATATCTTCAGCAAGTGCTTAATAGAAGAAAGGGTTTAAGAAAATATTTAGGATATTGAATTACAACCTTTTTATTTTGTCAGGTATGTCCCTTCTGTGTAGATACAGAATGAATCTCACTAGTCCATGTATTTTATAAACAGTACAAAAATGACATTCTCTCACTTCTCAGGAAAGATTGAACAATGGAGCTATGTACATCTCATGTTATATGGACTTCATTATTTTTGCAACATATATTCCTGTATATTTATTAGTTCATTATGAAGCATCATAAAGAATTACAAAGACATCACAGTTTTCAAATGAAAGTACAATGTGATGTGTTTCCTTGCTTTCTTAAAATTGCATTTGTTCATGTACTTGCTAATTCACAAAAATCAATAATTTGTAAACAATCTCCCATTACTGGTACAAATTAGCAAATTTTGCCATGCAGATTATCAAGGCTTTGCCAGACGGAAGGAGTTTCTGCTATGCCTTTTAAAACCAGCATGTGCTCTGCCCCCATGCCCCTCCCTCTTTTTTTTTGTTACTATTATCTTTAGTTCTGAAAAACCTTGGAACATTTCCCAGAACAGATCTATAGAATGTTTCCAGGGGAAATATATAAAGAGTCTGTGTTCTGATTTACATTTTGTTGGCAGTGCCTGACTTGTTTTGGTGCTATAGGTCTTTAAAGTTCCAGCCCATGTGTAGAGTCCAGTCATACTGAACAATTTAGCAGCAAAGATATCTTACCACCCCAAATCTCTTTTAAACAAAGGTGTGGTTCAGGATAACTGCCTGCTTCTGACCCCTTCCCGCCTCTTATTATTGCAGCTGCTATGATGTAAGGCTGACTATGGAAGAGCTAAAGAATCCGAGGCACAGAAAAAAATGCTGAGAACAGCTGTTTTACTGTAAACATTAACAAGGGGTTGACTTCATTTGCAAGCTGGGAGCATTCACAGTTTTTGCATAAATG